TGATCTCTGTCTGTCAAATAAATAAATAAAATCTTAAAAAAAAAATGTTTAAAAAAAAAAAGAAAAGAAAAAAAGCTGATCCACCATGTGTTTACACTCAAGTGCTAGATAGCAGGTTGATTGGTTTGTTTGTTTCTAAAAGTAGGGGCGCCTGGGTGTCTCAGGCAGTTAAGTGTCCAACTTTGGCTCAGGTCATAATCTCAGGGTCCTAGGATCACGCCCTGCAAAAGGCTCCCTGCTCGGCAAGGAGTCTGCTTCTCCCTCTTCTTCTGCCCCCCAACCACTTGTGCACACTCATGACCTCTCTCACTCTCAAATAAAATCTCTAAAAAGAAAAGCAATTATATACTGGTGATCGCCTGTGACTGACCCAATCACCAGCAAGCCCAGAACTTTCAATATGCTTCTTTTTCTCAGCCCAATTTTAACCTTTGAGCAGAAAACAACGAACTAGCAGAAATCGGAGGAAAGCAAATAGTATGAAGTGACAGAGACGAAAACAAAGAAACAATCAGAACAAATACAGACTGCTCTTGGATAAAAAAGCTAAAAGGCCATCAATAAAATCTTCAGTTTTGGCCTGTATAAACTATTCATTTTTTAAAAGATTTTATTTTATTTTTTTTAAGATTTTATTTATTTGACAGAGAGAGATCACAAGTAGGTAGAGAGGCAGGCAGAGAGATGGGGAAGCAGGCTCCCCTCTGAGCAGAGCCTGGTGCCTGGCTTGATCCCAGGACCCTTAGATCATGACCTGAGCCCAAGGCAGAGGCTAAACCATGAGCCACCCAGGGGCCCCTAAGATTTTATTTTTAAGTCATTTCTACACGCAATGTGGGGACTGAACCCACGATGCTGAGAGCAAGTCGCCAGCTCCACTGACTGAGCCAGCCAGGCACCCCTAAACTTATCACTTTTGTGTATTCATTCTGGAATCACATTATTAGCGATAAAGGATAATTGGAAGGAAGGCAGACAGGGACAAAGTGCCACCCCCACAACCAAGATGAAGCCACCCTTAAAAGATTTTTACACCACCCTGGAAGGTGCCCTCCAACCTATTCCATGTGATAGATGACGAAAACCTGATTGGATGACAGGCAAAGGAAGGGTTAGATTAAAACAGCCCTTCAACAAACCCATAAAATTCCCTAGATATAGAAACCCGATGGTAACCCTCTACAGTCCCCTCCTTCCTTGGGAGCCTTGTACTATCACTTTACTATCACTCAGTAAACCTTGCTTTGCTGCCCACCACTCTTTCTGGTCTACCTCTTCATTCTTCAAAGTGGCGTGACCAAGAACCATGGGCACTGGCGGAGAAAAAAATCCTATAATATTAGGAATCTAAAAAAATTCTAGGTCACTGCCTGAGAGTTGATTCTAAATATTATATACACGGCATAAAACTAAAGTACTTATAAAATCACTTGCACAGGAGTAAATAGATGACTTCGATGGTATTAACCCATGAAACCCATGCTCTTGGTATTGTAAGTAGAATACATTGTGAGAAACCTTCTTCTTCCCTTCCCTACTTTTAAGTAGGCTCCATGCCCAACATGGGGCTTGAACTCATGACCCTGAGATCAAGAGTCACATGCTCTACTGACTAAGCCAGGCAGGCACCCCAGAAACTGTCATTTCTTTCTTTTTTTTTTTTTTTTAAAGATTTTATTTATTTATTTGACAGAGAGAGATCACAAGTAGATGGAGAGGCAGGCAGAGAGAGAGAGAGAGGGAAGCAGGCTCTCTGCTGAGCAGAGAGCCCGATGGGGACTCGATCCCAGGGACCTGAGATCATGACCTGAGCCGAAGGCAGCGGCTTAACCCACTGAGCCACCCAGGCGCCCGAAACTGTCATTTCTTAAGAACAGCATTATCATTTTCCAGAAAGTATAAAAATCAGCAGCGTCACCTATGGAAAAAAGCTTCCTGCTTTACATGCCTTTATATGCCAGGCTGTGAAGAGGTAAAAATCCTTTAATTTTTAAGAATTCTTGAGAATAAGTCAATCTCTGAATGTGATCACAAGATTTTAATCATCTCTTGGTGTATTAACAAATTCATTACTGCTGAGAAATCCTTGTAAGAACAAATGCTATATTAACCATTGTTGTTCGTGTCTCTAAGAGTATCACCTTCCTGACAGACCAAGATCACCTTTCTGCTAGTTTAGAAGCTATACAATGTGGAGTGCTTGATGCTTTACTAAGATAGGACAATTCATTTAAAGGCTGTGTACTGGGGCACCTGGGTGGCTCAGTGGGTTAAGCCTCTGCCTTCGGCTCAGGTCATGATCCCAGGGTCCTGGGATCGAGCCCCACATCGGGCTCTCTGCTCAGCGGGGAGTCTGCTTCCTCCTCTCTCTCTGCCTGCCTCTCTGCCTACTTGTGATCTCTCTCTCTGTGAAATAAATAAATAAAATATTAAAAAAAAAATAAAGGCTGTGTACTACTGTTAGCTTGGTTTGAAAATATCAATCAATTTGCAGGATCCAGAATTAATGGGATTATTTCATTACAGCTTTCAGGAGACTTAATTTCCAAGCTAACTATAGTCACAAAGGCTTTTTAAGGTATCATTAAGGAGTTTCAGAAATTTGCATAATTTTAGCTGCTGTTTATACGAAATAATGTAGTTACAAACCAAAATCTAAAGATGACTCCATTTATTTTTTTTCCTTTTTCCCCCAGCTTTAATAAACCAAAATCTAACTTTAATATAACTATATAAAGAATTACTTTCCTGAAGAAGATAAATTGCTCCTTTCAAAGTTACTTAAATCTTGGAGATGATACAGTTGGAAAAATTTGTGTTCGGTAATCTAATGAAGTATAAAACATTAATTTTGTAAAATTTACATTTTTAAAAGTATATCCTAAAGAGATATACCAAGATGCAATGATTTGTTATTGTATACATATTAGATGCTTTTTAGTAATATGTCAATATATCAATATATGAATTGAATATATTCAGTTCAACAAATACTAGAGAACCTACTAAAGTTGGTTTCCAAGAGTGATGAAGAGACATAATGTGCCTTTTTGGCCTTCCAGAAATATTGAGAGTAAGGTAAGTGATTGATAGGTATGAAAATGCCTACCACAGAAGGAAGCAAAAGCTAAGGATTGCAAAAAAAAAAAAGTGCTACAAGCAAAGGGATTAAGATAAAAATCCTTTTGAATAATTTCAAAAGATTTCCTCTAGTAAGTGGTTGAGATAATCCATGAAGGTTGAGTTTAATATCTCCTAGAGGAGACACTTACAATAAATGTGTGCTGCTTTTAAGTGATTAATAGTAGAAAAATATTATGTAACAGTCTGAAATACATATGAATAACTTTAATACTTACTTTTGTCTAATTTGATGAGTTGAGTAAAAATTTAAGTTCTAAATATTTTATACCTTAAGTTATATCCGGGAGAATTTTTGTTTCCTTAATAGGAAATACCTAGCATTACTCTGGACCCTCCTTAGATCAGTCAGGATTCCATTGGAGACAAGTTAAATCAGGATTCCTGGGGTGGGGGTTCAGATACTGATATTTTGCAAAAGTCCTCTAGATAATTTTAATTTTTTAGAAAGATTTTAAGTAATCTTTATACCCAAGATGGGGCTCAAACTCCCACCCAGATATCAACAGTCCGACCCTCCACTGACTGAGCCAACAAGGCACCCCTCTAGGTAATTTTAAGGTGCGGTCAGGATAGCAGACCACCAGGCTAAATTTCAGTTGAGAGACTTTGGTCTTACTAATAACCGATTTACTTTCCTTTGCTGGTTCAATAAATAATAAGAATATTCCCAGTAACACTCTTTTATTAGCTACCACTCAACTGAGTATTTACTATGCGCCAGGCACAGTGCCAAACATTCTTTTGTGCATTATCTTATCTAGTTTTCACAGCAAGGTGTATTTCCAAATTACTTGCCCAGTTAACTGTCCCATTCCGGGACCCAAGAACTTACCCACTGCACCACACTGCTGCTCTCCTCTAATTCACTCCTGATATGGAACTGTCGAGAACACCAAAGTCTATCAGCAGTTATAAATAAATGTTATCTGCAAAGAGCGACCAAGAATGCAAATGACACAAGAACGAGTATGGAGGATACCAGGAAGTGACACTGTAGGCTGATCAGGCGATCCAAAATCTCTAATTCCCAGGTCCTCCGAACACCTCTTCCAGCCTTCAACCACCCCTAAACCCCACTTTTAAAGCTCACTGGTCCTTGATGGCCAATTTTAGGGCGAGAATAACCTTTGAATACAAAGGGTCAAAAAGGCAGCCCAGGCATTTCCCAAATCCGAAGCAGCAGTCTAGGGGTTCAGTCATTACTGGTGATGGGGAAAAGCCTTCTGGAGCCTTCCACAGCAGCCCACCGACTTAATGAAAAGGGAGGAAATATGGGGTGCGGGGAGGAGGATGGAGCGGGGGGCGGGGGGCATGGAGCGGAGGAGGCGCTGATCAGTTCGCTTTCCCCAGAGCCTTAGGTGGGACACCTCGCAGCAAACCGCCGAAGGTGGGACGCCTGGCTGGAAACTAACCACCCATTCCCCCGCCCGCATTCTCTACTACCGCGAGGGGAGAGCCGGGTGAGTGCCCGCCAGTCCCAACCATATTCGCCGCGCTTCAGAATCCCAGGGCAGGCGGGCGAGTATTGTCCTGTGCCGCACCCTGGAGCAAGGGCGCGACCGCGGTGTCAGTTGTTTGGGGAGAGGGGCTGGCCCGACCCTAGTGCACAAACCCCGATTTGACTGAAGGCACTGAAACAGGGACCCCGGCTCTTGCTTGGGGCGAAGGGCTGCCCGCTCACCCCAACGCGGAGCGCAGCTGGCGCGGGAGCTTCCTACTCGGGAGGATCCCTAGGGCAGCCCGAGCTGGTTGCCTTGGCAACCCCACGCTCCTGGCGGAGCCGGCGCGCGCCGCGGGGCTCAGTCACTACCGGAAGTGACGTGTTTCACCTGCCAAGCGAGGGTGGGGTGGGACGGGGGTGCTGAGGTGCCGCCGCCGCCAGCCAGTCGGGAGCGCGCAGGCACCGGCTGACTGAGACCCCGGGTGAGAGCCGCCTACCTTCAGTCACCGCCCACGGCCGGGCCGCCACCATGGCGCTTCTGCTGCGCTTGGTCCTCTTGTGCGGAGTCGCGGGTGAGTAGGGGGCAATTTGGTTCCAAGGGTTCCTATTGCCGGCACCGCCTTGGGGCGCTCTCTGCCTGCGGCCACCCGGGAACAATGAGGCGTGGGGGAGGGGACGGGTGCGATTTGGGGGCGCTGCGGCAGTGGTGGCTGTGCGGGCGGTATTGCACCGGGGTGGTTTTGCGGAGCCGCGCGTGCGAGCCGGGAAGGTGGAACGGCTCGGAATGGAGCCGTGCGGGGGCGTGAGGTGCGGGGGCGGGGGCAGCTGGGGGTAGTAGGGACCGATCCCCGAGATAGGGGGCGGCGGTGGAGGGGCTCCCCGGGGGGGGGGGGGGGGGGCGCGGCGTGCCGGGTGCGCCTGGCGTCTTTCCCAGACCATTCTTTGCGGCGGGTGCGAGCTTTGCTTTATTTGCTCTTGCCCTTTCTCTTGTTAGCTCGTGTCGTGTCCGCGCGGGCTTACTCGATTTCAGAAGCCTAGGGCTGCGAGTTTCCAGGTGTTGAGCAGTCCAGGCGGGGAGGCTGAATTACAAACGCCATGATTAAATAGACACTGAGCTTTTCAGTGCCGCCGTGCGTCCAGGCGATCTCTAGGAAAGAGGCGCTGAAGGAACAGTAGCTTGAGCATTCTTGGTCTCGTAGAAGAGGCGAGCCCAAGCGCGAGACGAACAGTAGTAGCTTGAGCATTCTTCATCTCGAAAGAGGCGAGCCCAAGCACGAGCTATTAACTAGACGGTAGCTCGACGAAGTAGACGGTTGGAAATCCAAACTAGGTTCCTGCAAAAATGCGGTCATATAATTTCTGCAGTCCCGGAGCAAAGTGCAAAGAGGAAATCGTAAGCTCGGTTTGCGTTTATGATGAGTTAATTCATTTTGAAGATAAGAGGGGATGACTTATACAGGGCAATTCCTGAAGGATTCGCCAAGTACATTTTTTGACTGCGCCTCTCTCAGGAGGGGAAAAAAGGCATTTAAAAAATGTGTGGACCATTAGAAGGCATAATCATTTGACGCTTTAAAAAATTGGTCAGTTTTTATGGCAGTGTTTTAACTAACTGATCTTGTTTGTCAGGATAGGCATATGGCACGTTTAGAACCAAATGGCTAATTTTTAAAAATCCAACGGCGCGACCCTCAGGAGGCACACTTTGTGTAGTCTCTGGAAGGACTTATTTTTTTTTTTTTTTAAGTGTTGGAAAGGAGCTTTTTTTTTTTTTTTTTTTTTAAGTGTTGGAAGGGAGCGGGTGGCCCTTTTTGTTGGGATGGCTCTCTGCTTCCTGTTGAAATGTTAATTTCATTGTTGATGCCACATCTGTGAGCATTACTCCCGGGATCAACATTCTATTAACAAGTCTAATCTTCGGTATATAGCACCACCTCCACCTTTTTGATACATATCATTTAGACTTGGGTGAAATTTCCAAAGTAATGCTTCTGGAAAGGACGAAGGGTCAGTAACCAGTTTACATGGTACATTCCCACCTTTGTTTTGTCAAAGACTAAACTGAAGTTGAAGTGGGTAACGCATGTGCTCTCTGGGAAAAATATTTTAAGCTACATCTAGAGCAGAAAAGTGGAATAACATAATGCCAACCCCCACCCCGGGGATGTCCAGATAATTGTATGGATTTCATTTTTTTATGGACACCTCACTTTGTTAGGAACAATCTCAACAGGATATTTTTGATAGAGTCATTCTACTCATATACGGTATACTAGGATAGTGAACTTCTCATGAAAGCACTGTTGTACTATTTTTAGGTACAGTTTTCCAGCCTAGGGAACAACTCAAAAAGCTATGTAATTGATCTATGGCTTTGAGTATTTCTTCAGATAACTCTTGCCATTTTAGGCATTCATTCCTATGAGTTTGATTTGAGTGGTAACATGATCGGCTTCTACATTTGGCAAAACAAAGTAGAGGAGGCTTACATATTAAAAATTGCAGTGCAATTTTTTTCTCTAGATCTGTTTCCATATGGGTTGTGAAGAGATTTGTCATATTTGCTAGTGGAAGTCCTTTTGATGTATTTTATTATCTGTCCAGTCAGTTTCAAGTCACACTACCAGTAGCAAAAGTGGCTGTAGTAGAACAGCTGTAGCAATGGTAGTAATATTAAAGCCTTGATTGAATAGTTATTAAATGCCAGGGCACTGTTAAGGGCTTTATATATACTCCATCTATCTAGCAATCCTGGAGGGTATGTATTGTAATGATCCCTGTTGCACATGTGAGGAAACTGAGGCACAGAGTAGTTATATAACTTAATTTGCTAAGGTCACAGATTTCCTCCTTAATCCTTGCTCTTACCACTTGCTATTTTTGCCTCTAAAACAGCCATTTTCCTCTTTGATTATCTCTAATTGACCTCCTTAATTTCTGTCACTGGTTATCTGTCACGTACGTAGTAATAACCTGCTATTGGTTTGACTATGTGCCAAATACTGAAGACTTTCATTTTAGCCCTTTATTTTCTTATCTTAGTTCATGCTCTCAGACACTATTAACAATAACACAAGGAACCAGGGCTTAGGCGGGTGTTACAAACTCATGTGGCCTGTGTATCAGCACCAGCATCACCTGAGGATCTTGTTAAAGTTTGGGGTGCTGTTGTTTCTCACACACTGTCAACATGAGTGAAGCTAGCCTCTGCCTTCAGCTCAGGTCATGATCCCAGGGTCCTGGGATGGAGCCCCGCACCGGGCTCTCTGCTCAGCTGGGAGCCTGCTTCCTCCTCTCTCTCCCTGCCTGCCTCTCTGACTAGTTGGAATCTCTGTCTATCAAATAAATAAATAAAGTCTTTAAAAAAAAAAAAAGTACTTGTCTTCCCACCACTTGTTAGCCATTTGATGGCTACAAGCCTCTGTCCTTTCTGTGTGCCTCAGTTGCTTTGTGTGTCAAGAATAGGGTTCCTACCATCTCAGAGTCATTACGGAGCAGAGTGAAATGTTTTATCATTTTGCTTGCCTGGAGTCTTCCTTTGCATAAAAAAATATGAAGATTAAATGTGAACTTGATCCCCTCCATATACCTCTCTTACTGTCTACATTTTTTATATTATACCAACCACCTAAAAAAAAGTTGCCCCTCCTCCAAGGCAAGCCACTTTTTTTTTTTTTAAGATTTTTTTATTTCTTTATTTGACAGACAAAGATCACAAGTAGGCAGAGAGGCAGGCAGAGAGAGAGGAGGAAGCAGGCTCCCTGCCAAGCAGAGAGCCCCGGTGCGGGGCTCGATCCCAGGACCCTGGGATCATGACCTGAGCTGAAGGCAGAGGCTTTAACCCACTGAGCCACCCAGGTGCCCCCAAGGCAAGCCACTTTACAATGGCTTCATACCCTGTTTGTTGTGGGGTGTCCATCAGTTACTCAGTTTATCTCATTGCACGAGGGGCATTGAGGGGCATTACTTGTGTTCTTATTATAGTCCCAGTGTTAGCTTATGGTATGTGGCAAAGAGCAAATGTTCGGCAAATGTCTTATGACTGAAGGTTTGCAGCCTTTTTAATCACTAGGCCCGTGTATATGCTGTAGCTCTCATCAGTTCCAGCTCTCTCTCCCTTCTCATCAAATAAAGACGGTCCTTGGTAGTGGTCATTCCAGTTGCCTTGTCTCATTCAGTTGTTAGTCTAAAGAAGTTCTAAGCTTTTGCTTTATCTTTGATCTAATTGTTCTATTCCACTTCAGTTGCCAGAGAGAACAGTAACCTTTTGGCAAATCCATTTATCTTTTCGGAGCTCCTTGATACCTGTTTTGGTTCTTTCCCACCCTGCTAACCCGCTCTTCATCAAATTCATAGTAGGTCCCTTAAATACCAGCCTTCCCTATGATTTGTCCCATAGTCTTCTTCTCTCAATCTTAAATGTGGGTAGACTCATTTATCCATTACTATAACCTCCAAATAGTTGCTCGTGACTTAAAAGTAGTGCCAGCTCAGCCCACCTGTCCTTTGAATCCTTCGCCACTATTTCCAGCTGCCTAACATTCACATTCATCTGAATGCACTTTAGTACCTCAGATCCTGCATGTGTGGAGCCAAATTCATCCATTAATTAATTGATTACATGATTTAGTCATTCAGGTATTTATTGCTTACTATGTTCTGTGCTGTGCTAGGTACCCTTACAGTAGTATAGAACTTCGCAAGGTGCAAATTTTGATAGGACACATCCAACAGATGATACAGGTTTTGCAAAGGCATGGAGATCTGAAAGGGTAGAATGTGTCTTGGGAGGTGAGAAATTCAGTTCATTAAAGCACCTAACCAGCACTTCTCAAACTTCTGATGTGTATCTGAATCATTCTCGTAAGAAAGTTGGGTGAGGCCCAAGATTCTGCTTTTTAGCAAGTTCCTCATCATGTCACTGCTGACCACACTCTGGGTGAGTGAAGCTCTAAGGCTGTGCCAAGAGCTTAGTAGGAGATGAAAGATGACTGACATTTGTCAAGTTATACTACTCTCCGTAGTGGCACTGAGAAGCTTGTGGAGCCATTAAAGAAGTGAGATTATACGCTGAGATTATTCGCTTAAATGATGAAATCGGCAGCAGTCCTGGAGGCAGGTGGAAACAATGGGTCTAACCTAACACAGGAAGCTATCTGGGATGGTGTACACAGAAGCAGCCCCTATGGAAAAACAGTGGTGTTGGGCCTCCTCTCTGATCTAAAAAGTTGTTTTGAGAGAAATGCACTGAAGCCTGATACCTGGTTGGTTGCAAGAATTAGTTGGAGAGGAGCAGTAGGATTCCTGGCTTTGAGTGAATGGGGAAGTCACTGACCTACAGAGGAAAATAAGAGGAACATGTTTTAGAGGGAAAAACCAGCGAGCTTGAGTTTGGACAGGTGGTGTTCGAGGCATCTGAGGGATGGAAGTAAAAAAAAAAAATGTCTAGTAGGAAGATTGAAACAAAGGTCAGGATCTTGGGAAAGACAGATTGGTGGTAGAGAATTGAGAATCGCTGCTGAGAAGTACCATCTATGTCGGGTTAACCAGGACAAGCTGGTGGGACTAGGAG